AGAAGAGGAGCACCCCCTCTTAAGCACTTCCCAACCTTGATCGTTCGTGAGCAGCGAGGGTTATGCAGGAGCTCCGAGAAATGATTGAAAGAGCTGACACAGATGGGGATGGTGCCATAACCCCTGAGGACAGCAGCTTGGATGTGAAAGGCGGTGTTCGTCCTTGCCTTTTCTGCAACCGCCTCTTGGCCAGGACTTCTACAACATCATGACGAAGAAGACTTTTCCATAGGCAAGTGGGTAATACCAGTCATCCTTTGGGTGTCGAAACGACCTCTGCCTGTCGAGGACAACAGCTCAGCAGCGAGGCAGGCTAAGTTGGTAGTTGCAAATTGATGGTCTGTTGCTGCGTAGAGCGTTACCTTCTCTTCGCTTTAACTCGCTCTTTCCGCTTGAACTTTAGCGGAAATCAATCACCACTGTTTCCCTGCATGCTCCCACTTTGCATCACCACACCCTTCAAGATCGTAGTTCATGTACCGGCAGGGGAATCGTCTTGTAGAGGGGTGATTCAGCATTAGCGCGTCGAAATGTTTGCAGGCATGTGCTGCCTTCACCGATGATATGGCTGAGAGGAGGATGTCCTGGCAGAGGGCTCTGCGCGCTAGCTACCCGGTGCTGTGGGTTCTGGTTCACCAACTTCACGTTCCGCTGCGGGTGGCACAAGTCGGAACAGGTGCAACATTCGGATGTGAGAGGATCGTTTGTCGGTCAGCGGCATCTGTATTGGCATCTTCACGGTTTTGGGCATTGTACCCCCCGCGCACACACATCAGGGGAAGCCACCCCGCGCAGCTCTGCTGTGTGATCGCACAGTGTCGAATGCAGCAAAATGCATTTAATTAGGCTGAGAGCACCTCAGGAGTGCCGCAAAAAACGCTCGCGGGGCAGAAGCATAGCATGGGCATAGCCAAGTAAAAGTACGCCTCACATCAGCTTGGATGCCATCTCATGCTGGCTCGAAGCGTCTCGCCGCCGCTGAGCAATGCCGGAGGCAGACTTCTGGCCCCGTGCAGGCACGAGAACATGGGCACGTTCGCACGACTCGTGCTTTGTTGAGTTTGTTTGCTTGTCTTGCAGTCACCCGCAGATTTTTCTTCGTCCATGATTCCTGGGTCTGCAAAACACCTAGTTCCAGCGGCATGCCCGAAAAGCCCAGGGCACACAAGGCGATCGGCGAGGGTGCATTCCAAGAGAAGTCACTGTTGCATCTGCCGCACCGCACTGAAAGGTTCAGAGTATCCGCGGAGGAAACGGAAGGGAGGTAGGATTCTCGATGCGTCACGCGCATCGCGCCAGCCCACAACTCGGAAGGTGTGTGGCTCAGCTTCGCCAGCACAGTTGCAGCGGTCTTGAAAACAAAACTAACAACGACAAAGACAAGCGAAGCAAAACAAGCAACATTGAGTACACACCTCCTTGCTGCAAACTGTTAGCCAAGACCATCTGATCTTTGTTAAGCTGCTCTGGATATACCTGCCTCTAAGTTTGCCTGGCAATCACAATGGCTGAGCGGTTGCATGCCTCCAGGACGCTCGCCCTACAAATCCACTAGTTGCCATGGATTCCAGAATGCTTCGTGTATGCAGCAAAGGCATCGATTTTGTTTGGTGTAGATTGTAGGGCATCGATCGCACGTTGCTGCTGTGCATCTTTTTGCGAGATTTTTTCATGAGCGTGCTTCATAATGCGCTTACTCAATACGTTGCCACAGCCTTTGACATGCCCCCTCCCTCCCCTCCTTCCCCTTGGCATTCTCGGTGTGTTTGGTCTGAAAATGTAAAGTCTACAGTACACGGGCCAAAGTTATTGTAAGATAATGACAGCCGTGAAACATGTTAAACGAACACCATGAACATGTTCAATTTGCGCCTGGTGTTTTATGTTCTAATTTCCGGAACAGTGCGGTACACAACATGGGGTTCTATCATCTAGAGCAAAGGAGATAAGTGGTTCGGGTGGGCGCACGGCACGCCGCGGATAAGGTTCCCAGCCATGCGGCTCCAGCTTTGGTGCCGTGCACGGTTGGCGCTCCTGTCTTACTAAGTATTCACACAGGATCGCGGTGAATCCCAGTGCATGGGCCACCTATGTCAGTACTTGGCGGGAAGGAAGTTGGCCGACCTCCAGAATCGCACGAGAATTGGTGGCAAAGCATGTTGAGGGCGCTCATGACTCCTCTTGCATCACGTCAGCATTCCCCCCGGCTTATATCATGTATCGCACGGCAACCGTAAACACATCAATGTACTGTCGTTGGGCTGCAGTGTATCTCTTCCCCTATGCTCCGCAAAAGGCGTCGGTTGAGAACTCGATTCGACTGGCCGTTGCAACTGTGGCTCACTTGTTGGCCGGCGCTGTCTTGGATTGCCAGAGCTCCTTCAGAGGCCTGTTGACGGCAGGACTTCAAGCTGCGTAGAATGCTGGAGAGGTGGGAATTGCTGTGACTTACAACTTGTAAGAAATGACATACGATATGAGCGAGTGCCGCGAGATTGTGGCACGAGCTTAGGACGCCGTGTGCGATGATGGCCTTCTGCTCCCAAACCAAGCGACTCTTGGCAGTCCACCATCTCGAGGATGTTTCGGCTGCCACTGGCTTCGACTATCACGAGGTATATGACAAGCTTCTCGAAGGAGTTCACCACAGCCTCTTGGAAGATGCATCCGTGCTTTGGGGTCATGAAGCAAGGAACCTTTACGCGTCGAGAGACCTTTTGACCTCGTTTAAATGCGACTCAGGGGAAATGCATCCTTTCAGGCCAGGTGCTCCAGGAGTCGATGTCTTTTAAGGATTCCAGGACGCAACTGGCAGCGGCTTCCTGCAGCATCTTCGAGCAAACTCTAGGGTTTTGTTGGGTAAAATCACACTGCCCACTGCTCGTTTCAGCTTCATTTGGCTTCAGACTCAGCACCGCACTGCGTACCAGGATCGGGCTTGATGAGTGATTCGCTTGAGCCGCGAACATGCCTCGTGAATTAGCAATGAACATGCGTCATGTCAGAAGTGACCTCACCGATTAAAGCAGTCGGCTCGAGATGGCCACAAAGTCGTGGGAACGGCTGCGCTTCTTTGGGAACGTGCTCCGACCCTTGCTAGATGTGAGCGAAAGTTTAGAGTTAGTCCCGTCATCTGGAACTTTTTTGACATCATCACGCTCGATGAACAAACGAGAGTGACCACTCCGCTTTGACCATCGCATCCATTGTCTTGTCCAGGAAAGCCTGGGGCGACGTATGACCCCGAAGTCGGACGCGCAAAGCGTTGTTGGAGAAGCCCTGAGCCGTCGACAAAAAAGCCAACATCTTCTCGGTGATCAGGTGGAGCGCGCGTCCATGTCGAATATCATCTCGGCCGTCTCGGCCATCCACACTCGGATCGTCCTGCGTCAAGTCGCCCCGCTCGAGCCGCAATCCTTTTAGAACGGGTCTGCGGCCAGCAGGAAATGTTGTGATGATCAAGAGGAAAAGGAGCGCACCCCCAAGCTCGACACCACTCGTCGTGCGAACCCTGCTGGAAAGGGGTCCTGTCCTGACGTGGAAGCTGCCAGAAAACCTTCGTGCAACCGCCCTCATGCTGGCAGCTCGATTCTCGGGTGCTGCCGCCTAAAGCGAAGCTTGGAAACTCGCTCCTTTCCTGATCGGAATGGCTGGCAGATCAATTCTGTGTGCTGGCACGTCCAGCTGCCGCAACGACCCTGTTGCGACACCCAGTAATGTTCAATCTGCTGCCGTGTTATCCCGGCTGCAATCGGCTCTTCTTTTCTGATGGCAACTTGGTACATAAAGCGAAATGGCACCGACATCCCCCTTACAGCGGAGCTATCTGTTGGCTTCCAAGGACTATAATGGCAAGTACACCGCTCCCGTTGAGTTGGAGGTTTTTCAGAAACTGAACGAAGGTCACGTTCAGGAGCGCGTGCGGCTGGTGTAGACGAGGAGTGGCAATCTCTGCCGTTAGAAGTCGTGACTGAGGTTCGTAAAGGACGCTTGGAGCCAAATCATGCCAAATTTGTTTGAGGTGAGCAGACTCCTTCGAGACCATCCCCAGGACTACGGCAAGATTGCCGTGAGAAGCTCCTCGCCATTGCTGCGGAGACTGGTGCGTCAGGGATCGCAAAGCTGAAGGCTTGAATCCCCGCCCTTTGTTGTTGCTTCCATGCCGCCGTTGACAGCTTGAATGCTCGTCGACGGGTCGCATTCCTGTTGCGACCTAGCAAAATGACTTCTGTTCTGGATGCAAGCCCTCGACGTCCGAGACACTTTCGGTCATGTTCTGGGTCGTCGGTGTGGGAGGTGGGCGGGTCGTACATGTCAGTTCTACAGTGGCTCATGATAGCCGGGGTGTTGGCTTGTTTGCCCAGAATTGAGTGAACAGTGCCAAAGACTGGTGTAACCTTTTCGATTTGGGGAGGTTCCCAACTTTTCCGGGCTCAAATGCTTGACCTCGCTGAACGATGCTGGGTGCTTGCATTGATAGGGTAACGCATACTTTTTCCTTACTTGTGCTATTCGTCGTCTTCTTGCTTGATTCTCTTGCTCCGTTACTTTCGTACCTCACTCACTGACACTGTCGCTCTCTTGTTCTCTTACTCTCTTTTGCGCTCTTGGTCTTACACGACACGTAAGCCCGCGGCACTAAGGGTGACTGTGACTGTTGTTTTTCTCAGGGAGCTGCGCACCCCTTTTGCCATCTTCTCCCTCCCTTCCAGTTAGATGAGATTTGGATGGAAACGGTCGAATCCCCTTTGGATGCCTCAAAAAAAGCAACCAACAGCTGCGCAAGCCAATAAAATCGAAAGCACCGCGTGGATCGCAACTCGGAGAGCCAATGCGAAGCGGCAGTTTAGTGCAGGTTGGTGTGCAGGTTGGCAGTCGTTGGTTGTCCAGAAACCAAAGTATTAAATCTGAGTTCAATGGTCCAACTCCTGTTTTCAGCCATGCATTTAGTTGCGAGATACTGGTATTTGAAGCCGTCATTCGTGCAGGTGAAGTATGCGATGAGTCAAGAAGGGCCTTTCAAGATAGTCATCCTGGGCGAGGTGGGATCTTTCCGTTTCAATGTGTGCTCGTGCTCTCCTTCATCTCGCGTCGACTGGAGGGACGTGTTGGCAAGACGTCGTTGTTGCGGCAGTTCGTCTCGAAAACTTTCAGCGAACAAGAGGTGCAACTCGAAACTTCTCGGTTCTTGGTTCATGTTGTCGGGAGCAAGGCTTCCACTCAGTCTGCGGCCTACCTTGACAAGATCCTCCAGCTTCGAGGAACACAGGTGTATCCGAGCATAGCAAGATGCGAGTCCATCAAGCCTATTGCGAGCGACAAATTGCAACAGGTTCAACTGTCCCTTTGGGACACCGCTGGACAGGAGCTTTAAATCATTGCGGTTGACTGATGTTGACTGCGTCTAGATGTCCGTCTTTGGGCCCGCATTTGCGAGGAGCGGTTCCACTCGCTGGCACCTATTTATTATCGCAATGCTGACGGCCTGCTGCTGAGGCTATTCATGAAGAAACTTGGAGTGTGCATGCTTGCTGAGTCCAGCTCAGGTGCCCTGTTGGTTTACGATATTACGGATTTGGACAGCTTTAGGCGCCTTGCGTGGTGAATGTCGCAGACTTGTCACAACATCGGCCCTGTTTTCCTGAGATCAGGCGAGTTGCCAAATGGGTTGAAGAGCTTCAGGTGATGGTCAGGAGCTGATGGACGAGCAATGCTAGACATGCATTGCGCTCTGCGATGATGCGCTGAGGGCACGAAGTGTGTCCTGGCGATTGTTGGCAATAAGTCAGATTTGCAGTCCCAGGCAGAATCGGCAGAGTTCTGTTGCCATGGAGCCTCTCATGCGCCGACAGAGTTTGTGCGATGTGCGATGCCGCAGGCCAAAGTGCCTAAGGCCGATGCGGAGACCTATGCCAGGATTGCGCGCAAACTTTGGAAGCACCACCAGCCAACCAGCTCTCACCAAAGTCCTCCGGTGCAGGAGTATCAATGCAAGGCACAGTACAGCTGCCCGGCGTGCATCAGCCTTTTACACATCGGCCTTCATGTTGTCCTCGCCCTGCTTCGTTTATATTGAAACAACGAGCTGGCAGGCCTCTGCCAAGCTTGGCTTTGGCGTGGATGTCGGAACCTTACGTTTCCAAAGGGATGCCTTACGGTGGCAGCAGGTGGAAGGCGGTTCGGCTTCTGACGCCGAGGAAGCCTTCGGAGCTTTAGCTGAAGATGCCTGATGCTCACGGTATGTGTGGCTTCGTTTCGATGTGGACCGTGACAGTTCGCGGTACAAAACGTTACTTGAGCCAAGTGTCAGGTCCTAGCATCAAAAGCGCGGGCTCCAAGCCTTGTCCTTGGAGGGTGAAGTTTGGGTTGTGACGCAGCAGAGACTTTGATGCTGAGGCCAGAGTCAAACATCTTCCCGAAGAACACGAGGAGCGCTTGTCGTGGAGGAGGATGTACCGCGCCCACGCCAGAAAAGCGGCTGCTGCGGAGGCCCGTCGGACTGTTCAGTTTTCGCACAAAGCCCTGGCACACATGTCAAGGATGAAAACCAGAGGAGCATGAGGCCACATGAAGCAGCAGGACGCCAGAAGTGCTTCCACTGATGCGCGTCACACGTGCACATTCCAATTGATTTACCATTCGTCTCACCACCAGGTGCCCGGTAAGTTCAAGCAGGGCGCGCTCGTTAATGGACGCGGCCTGATATGCCGACCTTCCTGTTGGAGGTTTGAAAGCGTCGCTCAAAACAGCGAGTCCATGCGCGACATTCCAGTGGCACCATAGCGTGAAATACTGAACATACTGTTGCTGTAGCGATGCAGCGTGTAAAGTGCACATGCCTTACTTGATCCAGGAACTTGACTCTCATTCAGGGTGGAAGGGCACCGCACTCCCATTGTTGTAAATTCATCCCTCAGTTTGCTCGCAACGCGATGACGTGCACAGTTTCGTTGAAGTTTCAGTTGGAGGAGGGATGTTTGTAAGGGATTCGTCATGTAAATTTCGCAGCCCTGCAAAATACCACAAAACGAAGATGCAAGGATTCTCCCATGGTTGTGAATCGGACCGGCTAAGCGAAGATGTGCACAGTTTAGTATCTCTATTTCACACTGCTTCAATTTGGCATCCCTCCCTTTGAAGAGTGTTATGCTGGCCACTTGGCCCGAGTCTGTTGCCCAGGGAAAACAACCCCCCCCCCCGTCCGTCAGAGTTTGTTTCGCCTAAGATAAAGCCGCGTTCCGCCCCCAAATAAGTAAACTATATGTAAAAAAAGCATACGCCGGCCAGCAGAGCTTGTTTCGGCTGCGAATAATTCGAAGTTTGTTTTGTCAAGGAAAAACACTCGTTTCCGGCAGGAGTTTTCCTTGTTGCCCCCTTTCTCTCGAGAAGTAGCCGCAAATTCTCGCCCAGAAGCAACTCCACTGTGCGGAGTTTGTTTGTCGTCGCCGAACCATACGGTGCCTCGGTGTCAGAGATTGTTTGTTTGCTCGGGACTTGCCCGTGCAAATCCCAAGTGTTTACCTTTGTGAATTCATACACTACTTCTACGATTTTTTGCTTTAGAAGCTTGTTACATTCAAAGCTGCTTACTTAATTCGCCTACAAACTTACTCAAGAATGCAAGCCATCGTTCGAGGGGGTCAGGGATCTGATGCTTCAAGGATCAGCGAGGTTGAGTCAGTCCCTTTGACATTGGGGTTTGCTTCTCGACATTCGTGTGCAGCGTTCTTGGCTTGTTCCAACATCGGTGGAACATCCGTGTAGCTTCCATCGCTTCTCGCAGCCATCTTGGCTTCACTCGTCATGGTTGGAAGTGTTTCGAGGGCGCCCCCCCATGGCTGCTGCGCCGCCGCCTTCGCGGCCGCAGCGCCCAGGCGGTCGCAGGGATTGAAAGCAATGGGAGCAAGGTTCAACATCGGCAAGACACCACGCGTGATCGTATCGCAAGTCATGATGCTTTGCGAGTGCTCTCTGACACTGCTGGAAATCCAGGAGCCCCACGCACAAAGTTTGTGCCGCACAGTATAGAAGACCAAGTCCGATTAGCATACGGCACGCCCACGTCTCATGCCGGAGCCTCAAGTGGAAACCTGCTTGCAACTTTCAAAATTCACAAGTTGATTCGGGGAGGTCTACCGCCCAACTGACCCGAGACATCCAGATATAGCAGAGCGGGCAACCCAGCACTCTCGATGGACGCATTTGGGATTTGCAATTGGAGCTGGTGAGCCGTGCTGCGATTGCAGACACCACTTTTTTGGCCTGTGCAGATTTGTGCCCACTACTGGTAGCCACCCCCCAACTCTGGCCTTGTGATGCTTGCACCTTCACGACATGCTGCGAAAGCCTAGCTGCGACTCATGCCCGAAAGAACAACATACCGGTAGGGCTACCTGCACGGCAAAAAAACAGCAAGCCATCAGGGCCATCAGCAAGCCATGGAACCCGCATCTGATGCAGCGGTGGCTTGGCCGGAGGATCCTTGGCTGGCAAGGCAGCCCAAGCCGACACCATAGCCTTGACTCAGACAGAGGGATTAGGAGGCTACAACTAGCCACAAGGGGAGTCCATCACTTACCTTGTCGGGGGACGTGGCAGGGACGTGGCTACCGCCATTCTGGAGAAGTGTGCCGGTCGAGTCCTGGTCGCTAGGTCGTTGTCCCGGTCGAGTCTTGTTCGTGTTGGTGTTTCGTTGGTGTACCGGTCGTTGTGACGGTCGGCGGACGGTGTCCCTCTCATTGTGCCTGTCAGAGTCCCTGCAAGTGTCCCTGTCAATGCAATTCAAAGCAGATTCTGCTCGATATTGGGTCTGCAGCTGAGTTATTTCGAACCTAGAAACTAAGGCCACCAGTGAGCAAGTCAGTGATTACGATCTATGGATGCAGTGTTCAGGCGCAAACGGTAATGTGTTGTTTGTCACGAAGGATACGGGTTGCCGAGATCCGAGGATCCTTGGACCAAGTCTTTGAACGAGCTTGTCACGGAACTGCAACGCCATGAAGCGGAGATCTGTGATTTCATTGCCGCCATGTCGGTCCTGGCCGTGACATGTTCCTGCTTCCTCAAACGGCCTCGCACCACCAGCACAATTGTTTGCGCCTGGATCGCTTGGTTCGGATTGCAGTTGGCACGCGGCCATTCTGCTTGGCAAGAAGTCCTTGAACACGCAGAATGTGCGGCGAAGAGCACAGCTGGTGCAGTGCGAGCTAACGGTGATATGCTGGTGGCATGGGTGACTCTGGTACTCCCAGCAGTTTATGACTTGTGCCTCAGCGGCAATTCGTTCCAGTGAGAGACTCCCAGGGCTGAGCTGTCGCTGAGGTGGCGTTTGGCGTGTCCCATTCTTCTTCGTTTTCTCGTGATGCTGCAGTGGATGTGGATGTGTATGTCGTGGGAGCAGAGAGGTATTCTGGCACTTTGTGGTATGGGCATTGGTGGCACTGCCTACGCTGTCATGCTTCTTTGGAAATCGCGGTCTTGGTTGAGACATAACTCGACAGCCTTCTTCAACTCTGCCAAGCATGTTCTATTCCAGGTTTCTTTTATCGCTGTGTGCCCCACAGTGTGGCTTGCTGCAAGTTTGTGTCCATCAGACGTTGTGCCTTGCGTGGTGTTTTTCCTCTTGGGGACTCTGTTGCCCGTACTATGGACAAGCCGGGCCTTGATCCAACATGATCACGAAAAAGACGCGCAGATGGAAGAGGAAAAGAGATCGCAAACATTCCGCTGGCTGCCTGCCATGCGCTTGCGGGAAACTTTCTCGCCATCAGCCGACCTGGAACAGGACATGCGATTCTGGCTTTCTTATTGGGCTTGTTGGCCACTGCTTTGTGCGGTTCAGTTCAGCGTGAGCCGACTACCCAGCAAAACAAGACCAGGCGCAGAGGGTCTACTGATCGCGCTGACCATGTGGCTGCAGTACTGGAGGGGCAGCTTTCTAGCCCCATACCTTTTCACTCTTCTCACGTCACTACTCAGCCACACGATGGAGCAACTGTATAATGTGCTGGAGGCGGGGCGGCAAGCTGCTTCTGCGATTCTGCAGCGACCCACATGTAGTCTTTATCTTCTTTCACTTTGCCCGCGTGAACGCTGGGCAATGATAGCAGCAGGTGTGCTCTTGCTTGTCGTTTGCCTGGAAGTTGCCTCCGTCGTAAGCGTGCTGATCACAGTTGGATTGTTATTTGGCATCGCCTTGGAATCGGCACGTTGCGTCGCAGGAAATACAACACAGATGTACGCCAATCGTTTATCCTTCTGGGTCCTCGTGAATTTATGGTTCTGGGTGTTGAAAATTCCGGTGCTTGGTGGCGTTCTGTCTCTTTGGTCTCCCGTGATGTTTGGCTTGGCTTTCGTCGGAGGTGAGGCTGCATTCAGCGCCCTCACAGGATTGATTTTGCACCTCCTTGCACTGATTGTGAGTGCCTTGAGCAAATGGTGCGAGCATCAGACGTCCCGGCCACTAGAAGAAGCCCTTCTTGAGGAAGGTAAAGTTGAGGACAGCGTCGCAGAGTCGCCGAAGGACTTGGATCCTTCGAGGAGACTAGCGAGCACAAGTGACGCAAGTGCAGCAAGCATGGAAGGCGAGTGCAAAGCTGATCAGACCGACGAGGAGAAAGTGAAGTGCGAGTGCGAGGAACAGCCTGAAGGCGGCGCTGCCCAGGAGATGCTGGATCCATCCGATGGCACGCTGCTGACGAGCTTCTCAGCATCAAGTCAGCAGCCAAGACCGCTCCCTTCCGCAGAAGAATCCTTGAGAACCACAGCTGAAGCAGAAGCTGAGACGGCTGTGGCTGTAGCCGAGTCTGAGACAAACCCAGCACCAACTGATGCTGCAGTCGCCGAATTCTCGGTCACAAGCACAGCGGACCCTGTAGGCTCAGGCCATTCCAGCAATGCATCACAAGGAGAGCTCGAAGAGCTACGTGACGATCTCAAGCGCAGCCCTTCACAGATGCTGGACGATCACGAGATGTTGGAGAGTAATACGGACTGCCGTGCCGAAGAAGGCAGCGTTACCACAGACAGGTATGCTGATCAAGCTTCCGAGACTTGGTGCTGATCAAGTCTTTCACACGGATAGACGGCGTAGCAGCTAGCAGCTAGCATGGACTTTGTAGGCATGTCGTGTTCGGGTGGGGTCGAGGTTGCACCGCCAGGTCGATTTTTTCCGTGGGGTACTCGCGAGACGTTTTTACTCTTTTACGTCAAAGCAGTTAGGGCTGGCAAC